TGATTAATCTGTTTATGTTAATGTATGCCGATGACACAGTTTTGTTTTCGGAAGATGTTAACAATCTTCAGCACATGCTAGATTGTCTGCAATGTTACACTGATAAATGGAATTTAACTGTTAATTATGATAAAACTAAAATTGTAATTTTTAGAAAAAGTAAAAGAATCTTACCTACTGAAAACTGGACGTTTAATGGCAAGTCAATTGAGATAGTGGACAAATTTTGTTATCTAGGATTAGTTTTTTATTATAATGGAAGATTCACCGTAGCACAAAACACGTTGGCATCTCAAGGCAGGAATGCTTTTTATCTTTTAAAAAGAAGAATGAAAGATTTTATCCTTAATACTGAAACTAAATTATCTTTGTTTGATACATATGTGACATGCATACTGAACTATGGATGTGAGGTATGGGGTAATTGTTTATCGCCGCAAATCGAAAAAGTCCATCTTCTCTTTCTTAAAGATTTATTAAACGTTAAGAAAACCGTCAATAGTTCTATGGTTTACTTTGAGACAGGAAGTTATTCCTTACATATAAAGCGCAAAGTAGCTATAATTAAATACTGGTTAAATATTTTGAATACAAATAACTGTGTACTAAAAGCATGCTATGATGCACTACTTGAGCTTAATGTCAAAAAGCCGAATTGTAAACTTAACTGGGTTTATCATGTTAAAAATGATTTATATAGAATGGGTTTTAATCATATTTGGGATGTTCAATATGTTCCAAATGAAAAACAATTTGTGGAAATGTATACCCAACGTCTGCATGACGTATTTATTCAGGAATTACGTGGTGCGTTTGAAACATCTTCTAAATGTTATTTATATAGACATCTTGTCGATACTTTTAATATGCAATTCTATTTAGTAAAGCCTTTAACATTTAATACCAAAAAAATGTTGAGTCAATATCGCATGCAGGCGCATTCCCTTAATATCGAATCTGGACGTTATAATGGGGTTCCGAGAGGTCAAAGATTATGTTTTGCCTGTGACAAAAATGATTTAGAAGATGAGATACATTTTATTCTTATTTGTCCTGCTTACTCTGTATTGAGAAACACATACATTAAGCAATATTACTTCCGATGCCCCAGTGTGTATAAATTAATTGAATTATTGTCATGTAAAAGTATTAAAACATTACGTAGATTGGGTCTGTATTTAAAATATGCTACCGCCAAAAGAAAAACCCTCGTGTAGTAATATTGCTAAATTATGTATTCTTTTTATGTGATAATTGCTTATATGGAATTGTCCTCCGCCATGTTGAAAATTTGAAATATGTTTTGTATTCTATGTATCAATTAACCTATATGCTGATTTGCATTCGGAAATAAAAAACTAAAAAAACTATAAATGTTTGTAACATGTGTTGGAGAGGGCTTCATATAAGTTTAATAACTTGTGCCCAATCCTTTTGTATCAATAAAATATGTTTAAACTCACCTGGGTAGAGCCCAGGGTGAGGCTTTTCACGTGCATGGACAGGGTCATAGGTCAAAGTGTCACTCTCAGCCAATACTTGCACCCACCTCTCATACGTCACAATTATAACACAGGTACATTACCTGACACAGACATATATACCATTACACACGATACACAGCGCAAGTATTAACATGTACTCAAATTACATCGTATTTAAAATACATTATTTTAAATACGAAATTACTGGACAAACTGTTAATAAGTTTGGCCACTGTGACACATCTTTTTAACATTTTAAAAATGACATTTGTAACAACAAAATATTTTTAAGAAAACTAAATCAATTGCATTTTACCAGTTTTATAATTGTAAAAACGTTTCAGATCGTAATGAGGAATATCGCCTCTGTCATTTTCTTCCTGAATGTTTTTTTTCAACCTGAAACCACTGTGAGCTGCACTTATGTCATTACTTCCTCTTCTCGTACACGTCAACCCACTGTCAACCAAATAAACATATATAAGAAACGTCTACCATACGATTCCAGTAACAAAATGTACTTAATAGTCTAATAAATAGCCTAGAAATGTACTTAGATCAACAACAAAAAATATTTATTTTGCATTTTTAAAACCATCAAGTTGAGAGGGAAAGGCTGTTAAGCTGTTAACACTCATGCTATATAAACATCAGTAAATTTTGATACAGCCAACGTTTTCTGAATACAGTCAGTCATGCGTGGTCAATCACCCCTGTTTTCCGTTCACGTTACTTCCTGAACGACGGATTACAAGGCAACATGGACAACCACGTAATCATGTTTGTTCTTTGTGTTCTGTGGATATTACCATATTCAGGTAAATCAAAATAATATATGTTATATATATAACAGTAGGATTAATTTATAAGGAGGAACTTTCTATGTTGGTCAGATTATAAGACAATAACTCCAGCTTAGCAAGTTTAAATTGAATGGATGAGGAAGCTATCCATGATAAATTCACTCGTAATCGACGTTTAAATTACTACCTTTTTTCCATTGAATGAATAAATCCTTAAATAATGAGGATCGGAAGCGGAACTTAAAAAGGGGCTGATCACCCAGACAGCTAGGGGCAGGACCATTAGGGGTACTATATTACATAATCTCAAAAAAACATCTCCACTAAAACATGTTCGTGGATTTACCAATATTTCAGAAAATGACTCTTAGATAATGAGAATCAGAATTTACGCAGCTGTTAGGCTAGGTTCAATTTCCTCTGGCCCTGACGCCAGATTTAGACATATATCTGTCTAAATGACCGACGTTTTGCTGATTTGGTAATTTTATTATAATGAAGGATCATAATGCATCTTTTTAACATTTTAAAAATGACATTTGTAACAACAAAATATTTTTAAGAAAACTAAATCAATTGCATTTTACCAGTTTTATAATTGTAAAAACGTTTCAGATCGTAATGTGGAATATCGCCACTGCCATTTTCTTCCTGGATGTTTTTTTCAACCTGAAACCAGAGCTGCACTTATGTCATTACTTCCTCTTCTCGAACACGTCAACCAAACATAACCGTATAAAAAAAGTCTACAATACGATTCCAGTAACAAAATGTACTTTATAGTCTGATAAATAGCCTAGAAAAGTACCATGATCAACAAAATAATACTATTTTGTATTTCTAAAACCATCAAGTTGAGAGGGAAAGGCTGTTAAGCTGTTAACACTCATGCTATATAAACATCAGTGAATTTGATACAGCCAACGTAACTTTCTATGTTGGTCAGATTATAAGGCAATAACTCCAGCTTAGCAAGTTTAAATTGAATGGATGACGAAGCTATCCATGGTAAATTCACTCGTAATCGACTCCATTTAAGTACGTTTAAATTAAATGCATGGAAAAACTACCTTTTTTCCATTGCATGAATTAATCCTTAAATAATGAGGATCGGAAGCGGAACTTAAAAAGTGGCTGATCGACCAGGCAGCTAGGGACGGGACCATTAGGGTTCCTATATTACATAATCCCAAAAAACAAGAGATCCCAAAGGAATCTTGGCGCCCACCATTGTACCATTTTTTGTTTATCTGATCAGTTTCAAAAGCAAACATAAACAATAAAGGACAGTGGGGAACCTACATATAAAATACGAGAAAGAACTCTCCAGTACTTCCTGGGAAATAGCACTAACATACCTTAACTGTCAAAATCAAAGATTTGTTTATCCGATCAGTCTCATAAGAAAACCTGCACAGCTACATACCAAGGGGAACCTACATGTCAAGTTTGAGAAAGATCTCTCCAGTCATTATTGAGAAATAGCTATTACAAACCTTCACTGTCAAAATTCAAGATGGCTGCCTGTCGGCCATTTTGTTTTTCTGATCAGTCTCAAAAATGCACATGCACAACGAGGGACAAAGGGAAACCTACATATAAAATTTGAAAACGATCCCTCCAGTGCTACCTAAGAAATAGCGATAACAAACTTTCACTGTAAAAATCCAAGATCGCTGCCTGTCGGCCATTTTGTTTATCTGATTAGTATCAAAAGTAAACCTGCACAACGAGGGACCAAGGGAAACATGCATATCAAATTTGAGAAAGAACCCTCTGGTACTTCCTGAGAAATAGCGATAACGAAAATTGTTTAAGGACGGACGACAGACAGACGGACCACGGACGCAGGGCTATTTGAATATCCTCTGACATATATCTGTCTAAATGGTCCTCTGACATATATCTGTCTAAATGGTCCTCTGACATATATCTGTCTAAATGGTCCTCTGACATATATCTGTCTAAATGGTCCTCTGACATATATCTGTCTAAATGGTCCTCTGACATATATCTGTCTAAATGGTCCTCTGACATATATCTGTCTAAATGGTCCTCTGACATATATCTGTCTAAATGGTCCTCTGACATATATCTGTCTAAATGGTCCTCTGACATATATCTGTCTAAATGGTCCTCTGACATATATCTGTCTAAATGGTCCTCTGACATATATCTGTCTAAATGGTCCTCTGACATATATCTGTCTAAATGGTCCTCTGACATATATCTGTCTAAATGGTCCTCTGACATATATCTGTCTAAATGGTCCTCTGACATATATCTGTCTAAATGGTCCTCTGACATATATCTGTCTAAATGGTCCTCTGACATATATCTGTCTAAATGGTCCTCTGACATATATCTGTCTAAATGGTCCTCTGACATATATCTGTCTAAATGGTCCTCTGACATATATCTGTCTAAATGGTCCTCTGACATATATCTGTCTAAATGGTCCTCTGACATATATCTGTCTAAATGGTCCTCTGACATATATCTGTCTAAATGGTCCTCTGACATATATCTGTCTAAATGGTCCTCTGACATATATCTGTCTAAATGGTCCTCTGACATATATCTGTCTAAATGGTCCTCTGACATATATCTGTCTAAATGGTCCTCTGACATATATCTGTCTAAATGGTCCTCTGACATATATCTGTCTAAATGGTCCTCTGACATATATCTGTCTAAATGGTCCTCTGACATATATCTGTCTAAATGGTCCTCTGACATATATCTGTCTAAATGGTCCTCTGACATATATCTGTCTAAATGGTCCTCTGACATATATCTGTCTAAATGGTCCTCTGACATATATCTGTCTAAATGGTCCTCTGACATATATCTGTCTAAATGGTCCTCTGACATATATCTGTCTAAATGGTCCTCTGACATATATCTGTCTAAATGGTCCTCTGACATATATCTGTCTAAATGGTCCTCTGACATATATCTGTCTAAATGGTCCTCTGACATATATCTGTCTAAATGGTCCTCTGACATATATCTGTCTAAATGGTCCTCTGACATATATCTGTCTAAATGGTCCTCTGACATATATCTGTCTAAATGGTCCTCTGACATATATCTGTCTAAATGGTCCTCTGACATATATCTGTCTAAATGGTCCTCTGACATATATCTGTCTAAATGGTCCTCTGACATATATCTGTCTAAATGGTCCTCTGACATATATCTGTCTAAATGTCGAAGTTTGGTGCCAGGGCAATAGGAAACCCGGACTACAAGGTATCATAGATAACAAAACCTTCAAAACCCTTTATTTCTTAAACATGCTGGTGGATTACACCAATATTTTGCACAATGTTCCAAAGATAATGAGCATCACAATTTGTATCCAAGAAGGGGCTACCCATTGGGGCGGCTTTTAAACGTCATTAATTGCAAACAAGAGGCCCAGAGGGCCTGANCAAATGGTCCTCCGACATATATCTGTCTAAATGGTCCTCTGACATACATCCNGATATAGCACTCCATGGTAGGTGCTGTTAGTACATATGAAATTTCAGAAAGATCCATCCAGTACTTGAGTTATAGAAAACAAACTTCAAACAGAGCCCCACCCCTATGCCCCTACGGGGGTCATACCCACCAATTATACAAAGTTGAGTCACCGTCAGCCAAGGATGCTCCACACTAAATAAGGATAAAATCCCTTAATCCCGATGGTCGGAAAAGGATTTTAAAGGTTTTACCTCTATTTTTCCTATTGGGCCCCGCCCTTCTGCCCCCCCCCCCCTTGGAGACCACACCTACTGCTAATACATAATTGAGTCCCATTGGCCCAAGGATGCTCCAGACTAAATTAGGATAAAATCCCTTAATCCCTATGGTAGAAGAAGGATTTTAAAGTTTTACCTCTATTTTCCCTATTGGGCCCCACCTCTCTGCCTACAGCGGGGTCAGACACACCGTTTATACAAAATTGGTTCCTCTTCACCAAAGAATGCTTCAGACCAAATATGGACAAAAGCCTGCCATTCCTACCGAAGAAGAAGGATTTTGAAGATTTACGTCTATTTCCCCTATTGGGCCCCACCCCTCAGGTCCCAGGGGGACCACACCCACCGTTTATACAAAATTGGTTCCCCACTACCCAATGATGCTCCACACCAAATATGGACCAAATCCTTTCATTCCTACAGAAGAAGAGGGATTTTAAAGAATAATTTGCTTTGTTTCCCCTATTGGGCCCCACGGCTCAGGCACCTGGGGAGCCAGATCCAAGGTGTATACAAAATTGGTTCCCCTTCACCCAAGAATGCTTCAGACCAAATATGGAACAAATCCTTTCATTCCTACAGAAGAAGAAGGATTTTAAAGAAACGGCTATATTTCCCCTATTGGGCCCCGCCCCTAAGCCCTCAGGGGGGTCAGACCCACCATTTATACAAACTTTGTTCCCTTTCCCCCAGGGATGCTTCTGACCAAATATGGACCAAATCCTTTCATTCCTACAGAAGAAGGATTTTAAAGAATAATTTGCTATATTTCCCCTATTGGGCCCCGCCCCTCTGGCACCTGGGGGGCAAGATCCACTGTTTATACAAAATTGGTTCCCTTTCACCCAAGGATGCTTCAGACCAAATATGTAACAAATCCTTCCATTCCTACAGAAGAAGAAGGATTTTAAAGAATTTGCTATATTTCCCCTATTTGGCCCCGCCCCTCAGGCCCCTGGAGGGCTAGACCCACCATTTATACGAAATTGGTTCTTCTTCATCCAAGGATGCTCCACACCAAATTTTGTTAAAATCCGCTCAGTGGTTCATGACTAGTAGTGTAAAGTTGACGGACGACGGACGACGGACGCAGGACGACGGACGACGGACGCTGCGGTATGGCATAAGCTCACCTTGGTCCTTTGGACCAGGTGAGCTAAAAATTACACATTTTTTCTATGTAAGTTAATGGTGAAGTTAAACAATTTTCGTGAAATGACTGTTAGCTTAAGAGAATCAGCTGATTTTCATACGAAGCTAGATTCTACTCAGCAAAATGTGTATGATCCGTAGTTAAGGGCCTTTTTAGGGAAATAGGGTGTAGGAAAGGTCAGTCCCTTTATTTACATGGACTAAGCATGCTAGCACTACAATTATATTGAAATATGTTCAGGACTTTGGGAGGAGATGTCACTAAAGGAAAATCGATCTTCATTCAAGAGTGAGCTTTATAACTTATGAAACTTGCTTTCTGTTGATTACCGCCATTTGTAAGATAATGAATGTGTTTGTTATTTACTATTCTAGCTGCGTTCACGGCCGATTGTTGCCATGTCACCTGGACGGCAGAGGCGAGGAATGTCTCATGTTCAGGATGTGGTCTACAAGACGTACCCAAGGATTTGCCAATTAACACCACTGAGTTGAATCTACGGAATAACAGTCTGAGCATCTTACTTAGGGAATCGTTCTTCAATCTTGTTTCTCTAAAAAGCCTCAATCTTTCCATGAACAAGTTGTTCCTTATTTCTCCTGGGGCATTTGACGACCTTGGGAATTTAGAGTATCTCGATTTATCGGATAACAATCTTAATCTATCCTCATTTGCTACTTCAACTTTTCGTATTTTGAATAGTCTGAAATGTTTGAACATTCAAAGAAATACCCTCCACCTGCTGAAATCATATCCCGAAGACGCTTTGTCTTATTTGTCGCAGCTGGAGTCTCTTACCATAGATATATTTGAAGGATTCAACTTCGGAAATGGATTTTTAAAAACCAATCTAAACACTTTGGAAATCAACTTTATTGGTAAAGAATGGGTGTCTTTAAGGAATTCTTCCTTTCAAGGACTAAGGAATTCAAATATATCGTATTTAAATATTAATGCACCGATCAGAAAGTTAGAGACCGATTATTTGTCTCCGTTTAGCAAACTGACGTCATTCAGCTTGATTTCACGTCGGACCATGCCGATTAAGGGAGTTCTGCGAGCCCTTTACGGATTGCGGGAAAGAACACTAGAGTCTCTTTCACTGATTGCTAACGGCATGCTATACGACGGAATGCAACATCTGGTGAAGGCAGACCTCCTTTATCTTGGTACTATATGTGTTAGGGAACTTGATTTAACAAATAATTCCATAGGCAGCATAACCATGGAGGCGATTATATCTTGGACTAAGAGAACATGCCTAGAGGTTTTAAATCTTTCGAAAAATCAGTTTTATACCGCTCAGATGATAACACTTCTGAATTTATTCCCAGTAATTACGTACGCCGATTTCTCATACATGCGTTATATGCGGATCCGGAAACGTACCATTCCGTTTACAAAACAAGTGTTGTTCCTTCCTAGACATCTGTGATGCCTCTTTTTGTCACATAATTCATTCGACGGATCAATGTTTAATGTAACGATTTACAGGAATAATAATCTCCAGCTATTAGATATAAGTTACCCTACCGGAACTCTTTCGTGTTCTTATGGATTATTAAAAGGGCTGGTCCACCTGAAGGAATATGACATGTCCGGAATGGACTGTTCCAACCCAAACCCTGAAATGTTCACCGATATGCCCAACCTGTCGCGATTGGCAGTGAGCCAATGTAATCTAAATGAAAGTTTTGCTTCAAACAGAACTTTTTTTATTTAAAGGATTGCATAATTTGTCTTTTGTTGATATGTCTTCAAATAATCTTAAAAGACTGAACCACAGAATATTTAACGATCAAAAGGAATCCCTGACGACCTTAATCCTAGCAAAGAATAGGATGGAACGTCTTCCTACTGGATCACTTCAATATCTCACTGTATTAGAAACACTTGATATAAGCTATAATCTCATATCGACATTAAGAGAATCGGAATATACTCAACTTGATACATTGCAAACAAAATCAGAAAAGTTCAAGGTTAATCTTTCTGGGAATCCTTTTGTGTGTAGCTGTGACAATTTGGACTTCCTTTCGTGGATAGAAACAACACACGTTATATACAACAAAGACGAGCTGATGTGTTTTACCCCATGAGGCAGTCAACTGAAGATCAGACATTTCCTAGAAACGTTTGTTCAATTCCAGGAAAGTTGTGTATCTCAATTCTGGTTGGTCGTCTCTATCGTTCTACTTGTTTTTTTATTTGCGTTTGGTATTCTTTCCCGAGAATCCTGGCGGCGGAGTGTTTGGCTACGAGTGAAGTGTCGACGACCTCTGACACATGACAAATACCCATACGACATATTTATATCTTACAGTGACGAGGATTGTAGTTGGGTAGCGAACACATTCGCTCCATGGCTAGATGAAAAGGGAATTAAATATTGCGTTGATGAAAGAAGTTTTTATCCTGGCCGTGACATCTGTGAAAACATTATGAACGCTATAGATGACTCACATCAAACTGTTTTTGTTGTAAGTTGTACTTTTTTAGAACGTGAATGGACAATGTTTACAATGAAATTAGCCAGTTCCTATTCTTTTCGCGATGGAAGACAGAACATGAACATAATTATTCTGTTAGAAAATATTAAAAGTGAATTTCCAAAGCTCATGCGGAAGAACTGGGATGTGGTTCGCCAAACAAAAGTAACAAGGATGAAGGAAAACTAATAACAGCTGAGCAACTGTTTTGGACAAAATTATTAAAACTAATTCAACGAGATAATGTGAGTCATCCGTTTAATATCAATTCTACCACGTTAACAACGTTTTCATTGGTTAACAATATGACCATTTCCACATATTTTCCTCTTTGATCAAGAAAGTTTGCAAATTGATACCCCTTCAAAACACTACTAACAAAATGTCGTAAGCTAAACTTTTGTGGATCTTTAGATGTTGTTTCATATTTTTCACATATTTTACTCTTGTGAAAGTGTGTCATATAATGTCCTTAGCATAGACGTTGTGGATATTTTGGAAAAGTTGTTTTACATGTTTCTCCTTTGTTTGAGATTCAGACAAACTTGATAGCCCTTCTAAGCACTGTATATTGTATAAATATCACTAACCTAAACTTTGTGGATCTTCAGATTTTTATGTTTTACTCATGTTTCCTTTAAGGTAGGTAGTTTATTATCCCTTCGCGACTTAAGTTCGAAGGGATTTAGGATTCAGCCCGTACGTATGCCACAGTGTGTCATCGCTCTACCGACTTTATTTCTCAACGAAATTTCATGAAACTTCATACAAGTGTTTGGAATGGCAATGTCTTGAACAAAATAGCACTTAGGGTATCTATGTTGAAGGTCAAGGTCACTGTCACTACCTTTAAAAATACTTTTGTCATCGCTCTACCGACTTCATTTCTCAACAAAATTTCATGAAACTTGATACAAGTGTTTACCATGACAATACTTTTGACAGATTCCTGCAGAAATAGTTATGCTGTCACATTTGCTGAAATTTCAGGTGTGAATGCGAACGGATTTGCGTTGTTTACACAAATTGTGATAGCTACATCCAAGCGTGTAACAAGCCTAATACAATACCGTTTGGCATTATAGATCTGTAGACTTGACCAATGTTAACTCACTAATGCTGGACACACTGATAGTAATATGTGTATATACTAAATAATAGTACAATTACATACTATATACACATAACATTATTATTAGTGTGTCCAGCACCCCAGTGTTCACCTGAAAGTAGGTTAAAGAACTACTATAAATGAACTCTGTACACTACATCACTGCATTAATACACAGGATCATTGTGCAATGTGATAAATAATGAGCTTGTCTTTATGGTGCATATAATATTTATTCTGATGATAATGACAAAGCAACCACAACATTAAACAATTAACAATATAAATGTAATAATTTGAGACCTTGATTTACAATAGCTGGAGTATGATTGCATAATGATTGCAACGTAAATATGAGCACTATGTACCACAATATAATATTAAGCAGCTTTGATTAATTTTCATATAAATTCTGACTATTTCATATGAAATAAATGTATAATATTTTACTGTATCGATGTGATGTTTTTTAGGCCAAAAAACATAATATGTGTGTTTCAGGTAACATGCATGAAAAAACAAGGGTAGGTCGGCAGGCAAATTAATTTATTTTAACTGTAATTTTTTTTATATTCAGTGATCAATATTGTTTTATATTAATTATTTCAATGCATTTTCAAACATCATAAAGCCTAATAAATTTGTAAGGAATAGGGTCAGACTCCACGAACATGAAGAAAGTATATTTTAATGAGTGGCTGTGAGCTTTGCCTGGCTTATTAATTAATTTTTGATACAAGTTGATAACAAAATTTCGAGGGTCGGCTGGAACTTCAAGGGTAGTCGGGATACCTGAAACACACATATTTTGTTTTGGCCTTTTAACTTGGCCTGATGTGAGATTCCACTTTCCTTCATATAATGGAAGAGTTCAGTTGATAAAATAAGATCACCTGAATCAGCATTATAAGAATTATATTTTTATACAACTAGATTTTCCAAGGTATATCCCAAATGATTTGTAATTCAAATATTTTTTTCCCTCACTAATTTTCTCCCATAGGATTGTTCAAATCAGTTGCTGAGTGCTGCACTATGCAAGTCACTTCCTGCTCAGTTTAAACTCATCTTCTATTGAACAAATGAAATTCAAATAAATGCTTTAGTATCTGAACTATGTAAGTTATATAATTTCAGAGCAAGTGTTACTGGGTACCAACAGCAGAATCTGGAGGAGAGTAAAAGAGCACAAATCGAAAAAACACATAAAAATATGTTCTGAATTGTATTTGCTAAAATAAAAGGTAGAGAATGTTTCACATCTTATACTTTTCTTTAATTTCCATACAAGAGTTCATGTTTTTCTTAGGAATATTAAAGGAATGTTAAAAAATCTATTACAAAACTGTCAGATATTTAACACAATTTGATATTTTATTTTCTTCCCTTTCCCAAGGCAATGTGATTACTGACTTCACTTTAGATAGTTGATTAATATATCAAATACACTGACATAAGTCTGGGTCCATTTTATTGTATTTCATACATTCTTTTAACCTGGATATATAATGTATATAAACTAATGTTGGATGTCCTTGCATGTTTTGTAATGAGTTCCACCACTAAGCTGAGAACAAATTTGATTCATTCATTCGTGATTATATACCCGAAATATTTTCAATAAAATACAAATTCAAGTAACTACACAAAACACTAATCATTTATACCTGAGAACCATTTAAACAATAAAAAAGATCAGAAATGTCCGACACAAATAAATATTGTAAATATAATCTTGTATGGATTTCAAAGCCACAAATACATTGAGTGTGGTCACAATAGCTCTTTTGATAAAAATATTTTTAAATAATAAAAAATTGTTAAAGTTCTTAAATAGTAAAAAAATGATAGGTTCTTCACGGGAAAAAATGAAAAAATAAACCAACATCTTTACACTATTCTTGAACAACAATATAAAAATGATATGTTGTTATAAATTCTTAAAAACTTACATGAAAAATAAACCAGCATCTTACAGAAGGAATTATTTCTAATGGCTAAACATGTCTTTAGAATAAGGACTGAATTGTGGTAAGCAGGTGTAGCAATGTTAAACAGTAGTATCCTATACAAAGGCTGTCCTTTGTGATTCCATGTAATAATGTACTTACTTAGAACAATTCATGTTTTATTTATTATTAGTTTTTTTTATCTGAAATTAATATCTCCAGAATGACTTTATTTCACTATATGTCTAACACATACTTCCGAGCCATTACATTTTCCAACACCCGCTACAGTATATGCGACGTTGTGTCCAAATAAATGGACCCACAAAAAGCACACAGAATCTAATGAGTGAAGTGGAGTTGAACTAGAATTCCAAAGTTTCGTGTTCGAATAATAACCAGTTGCATATATTCACAAACATATTTCCTTTTAAATTTTCATGAACAATAATATAGAAGTTGCCTTATGATATTTTGTGATTTGAAAGTAATTAATGGTGTTTATGACGGTAATTAATGGTGTATATGACATTTTATAGGACAAGCTCTAAAAAAATCCCTGGAACTGCAGTTAACAAAAAAATTATGAAGAATACAGTGTTAATAAAAAAAGGGTAACATATCATTTTTAAATTGGATACAAAAAATGCAAATACATTTTGTAAAATGAAAAACAGCACAAATAAATATCCACCAATGATGTCAGCACTTACTCTGTAAAACAAGATCATTATAAACTAGAGATTATTTTTTGTGAACAAAAATATGTCTCCCCTTATCAACCGATATGCATATAAAGTTAGGACTTCACTGAAAAATTACACTTATTGACCTAATTACAGTGCACACCTTCAGTGGGTGATACAGGTACACTTATACCTTCACCAAGATATCCTAAGCTTCATGGTTAAAAAGTTAGGGTCCACACAAGATTTCACTGGAAATTTTGTACTTTTTTCAACCTTTGACCTTGAGGTGAAGGTCAAAGTGACCTAATTACATTGCAGTTGCACACCTCATTGACATGATGCAATTAAACTCCAAGATTTAACTTTATCTTTTACAGTTTAAAAGTTACGGACTGGACAAGACCAAATCAGAAGAATCAATACTGATACAATATGGCCTGCTTAATTCGAAGGGGAGACATAATTTAAGTTTTATAACCAGCCACAGTTGACTGTGAGGTCTAGATCATTGGAAAGCCTATGAACCCTGAAGTGTAGTAAGATGTTGGACTCCCGCAAATGTTTTTATCTTGTTCAGACCTTGAAACACGGTCTAGACAAGGGCCAAGCGAGCTAAAAATGATTGATTGTATAGAAAGTGATTGTTTAAGGGCTGACCTTGCTAAGAAAATTGATGGTCACCCTATCCCCTCGGCGATGGTCACCCTATCCCCTCGGCGATGGTCACCCTATCCCCTCGGTGTTCTACGTTTGCATGTGTAACAACATCAAGAAAAACCTACCAGAAGCAACAACTTCAAAGTGAAAATAAAAATGCGAGTTTCAGAAACAAACGACAATGCATGTAGAAACAATGTAATTTTGATGATAGTAACCATCACACCAATAGCCAAACGATACTACTCACATGTAAAGACTACTCAAAGGTGGGCAAGAATTAGAATGATATCAGTAACACGAAACATCCAAAGCTACAAATTGAAACGGATTAAATAACTTCTGCAAATGCTTATTTTATCTTTATCATCACAAAGCATCTTTATTTCAGCAGAATATGTTGTAACCAAGTCATATAAATTACATCTAAGGAGGAATTTTCACTTCAATCATATCACAAGATTAAATGTGGGACTGAATTTTAGCTAACAAGATAATGTGTGTATAATTTTCATATCTACTAAGAATTTGCTTTAAGGATAACAAATCACATACATCAAAAATATTTTTGTAACCGGTCCGGTCAAAACACCGAACAATTAAAACTTATGTGTACATGCAGCATTTACAACTGAAATTGGATAATAAATATACTGTAATTGAAGCTTTAATCAGGTTCATTGCTGCTGTTTACAAAATAGATAATAGATTTAGAGTTTTCACAAAAGAAATTTGTTTGAGTCTCGTGTCCTATTAGCAGTTCTGTTACTGGTGACTGCGCGACGCAGGCCTCAAACCTGCGACCCAGTGGAGAAGGGCTAGTGATTGTGGCTGGTCAGACTCCTTAACCACTCTGCTACCTCTGCCCTCACAAAAAAAATTGAACTGAACCTTTTAATATGTGATAATCAGGAAAATTGTCGGACGTTTAAAACACTAACATGTTTTGTAAAAATATACAAGTAACTAGTATTTGTAAAAAATAATTTTTACTGGAAACTTAAAACTGGAACTGTTCATATGCCAATGTTTAAAGGTTTTGATTACGATTGATCTCATCTTGTCATGGACTGTAAGTATCAATAAAGTATCCATCACACCAATCACACTAACAAAGCCTTGTCATGGCATCAGGTCCGTGTTAACACTTATCACTGGTTCTACACTTCCTTACATAAACACAACCAGGTTCCATTCCACTTACACACTTTTAGCAATCATATGTACAAATTTATACAGCTTCCAATAACATTGTTAGTTCTATTCTTGAGGTTCCATGGAGTAAACAAGATTAAATTTGGTGTCTAGCTGAACATATAATATGTATAATTATACAACAAGATTCATTCACTAGTTTAAAATATTTTTGTGCCCTCTGTAAAATTCAAAAATATCTACTGAAGGAAATGTAACAATGTATTTACACAATACTTTACAACAAATGCCCAACATCGATCAACAATTTGAAAATGTGGCATCGGAGTTGACCTTGGCTAGGGGTCATGAAAGATTTATCTAATCTATTTCTTCAGTCTTATCATCTATTTCAGACGTTTTCTCTCTAAGGTAGACCCATTTCTTTGCATTTAAACTTTTTTCATTTCATTCTGAATCTATTCATCCATTGATCCTTTAATCTATTTCAGACTCCATATTTCTAATGCAGACTTATTTCTCCTCAGTCAGACTTATTTGTTTTTAGACTTATTTCCAAGAGAAATATCTGTTTGATTGACATTTGAAATTCGGACTGTTCCATGATTTTGAGACAAGAAGTATAGACTGTTTGAGGACATCAGTCAGACTCCTATCAATCTCTGTACTGATGATAATTGATAAGGCACAGAAATAGTAGACAGCAGACTGTAATGCTTGTTAACACAGTTCAGTGGATTGGACTCAAAAACCAGAATACATTTTTTTTAATTTTTGCGAGCCTGTGCATTTTGCAGTTTGTAGTAAATTCCCTGTTTGGACATCAGATCACTATGGCGACCTTGTTCTGCAACTTGGCCGTGTTTGATCACACAAATTTTGTCTGCATTTTGGATGGTGGACAGCCGATGAGCGATCACGATACAGGTACGTCCCTCTCTAGCCTTGTCCAAGGCTTCCTGTACAACCTGAAATAGCATGCAGGGGAGATAACTCAAAACATGAATAACAAATAGGTCACAAACAGCTAGGTTATGTAAAAAAAAAACCATCAGAACATGCATGTGAGTGTGCTGAATTGAAATATATTATGAAGTTTGTGCATGTCTAATGCAGACTTATTCCTCCTAACTCAAACTTATGGTTCTCTTATGGTCAAAAATTGTTTCAATGCAATTATTTTCAGTTACAGAATGTCTGGAAAAAAGTAGACTAATTCAGTATTAAACAAAAGTTCAATACTCAGTATCTTGTCTATGTCTCACCTTCTCACTCTCCGTGTCGAGGGCTGATGTTGCCTCATCCAACAGGAGAATCTTGGGATTTCTGACCAAGGCACGAGCAATGGCCACTCGTTGTTTCTGTCCACCACTGAGTTGCGTCCCTTTGTCACCAACACTGGTCTCATAACCCTGTCAGGAGAAACACATATATGGCATTTACCATTTGATGTAATTGCTTTCTATAAAAATGTAAAAAAAAATCTTTGCATAACATTTAAGCTTAATATCTTGAATACTTTTATGTTTTCATATTATCATGTTTTCAAAATTTTAAATGAAAGAAAACGACAGGCACAGATCTGAACTGAGGCTGACCTCAGGAATACTCGGCACGTGTAGATTGAGGGGTCCAGGCTTACCCGACTAAAACTAAAATGTTGACTATTGCTAGTTTGATAATTTCTTTATAAAACAAGATCAAGCTACTTGTAGATTTAATTTAGTGGACCGTGAAAGAAGGACAACTTATTCTTGATATATTGTTATTTATTCTCTGAAACTTTATCTGCCTATAGTTCAGTCCAAGTGCTTTCGTTTATCGTGGAATATTTCTGCCCCACTTGAACTGTTTCGACTGAGATACACGAATGTAACCTTTGTCTCTATTCTTACATCTGGTAATGAAGTAATGAATTCATGGATATTGGCTTTCCGGGCTGCAGAAATGACTTCATCCATGAGAACTTCTCTTGTGTTGTCACCGTAAGCGATGTTTTCCGCGATACTGCAGTCAAACAGGATTGGTTCTTGAGATACAATGCCGATCTGTTCTCGCAGCCATTGCACATTCAAGTCTGGTAACCTATATTTATCCATCATCTGCAAATACGGATTCATTATAAAACAAAATGAGACATCAAGAATTCATAAAATAAATATATATGTGTGAATAACAAATTGAATACAGAATACAGTAATGCATGTATATATATGCATGTATAAATACAACAGTTGATATAGCACCCTATGTCACTAGAATAAGCCTCTAAAGTGCTTTACAGTACAAAGATATACAATTACAACAAGGCAAAGCATTGCAAGGCAATCCATAGTCCCCCACCAGTAATGATTTCTATATTTAACAAACAGGAAGCATAGGTCAAAGAGAGGTCATAGTGACATAATTCTTGCACTCCACCATCCCAAGATGTCCTTGTACACCAAATCTGGTTACTCCAGGTGAAATAATACAGAAGATATGCCCCGGACACACTTTTTCAAAAGTCACCAATATGTCCTTGTACACCAAATCTGGTTACTCCAGGTGAAACAGTATAGAAGATATGCCCCGCACAAACTTTTTCAAAAGTGAAAGTCAAAGGTCAAGGTATAGGTCATAGTGATCTTCTTTTTGCACTCTGCAGTCCATCATCCCAATATGGTTTTGTACACCAAATCTTGCTACTCCAGGTGAAATAGTATAGAAGATATGTCTGGACAAAGTTCTCTGACAGAAGGATGGACTAAGATATGTCCGGACAAACTTCTCATACGGAAGGATGGACCAACNTTAGGAGGATTTGCCAAGACAAGGCTGATGGACAGACGGATGGTCAGGGTGATAATGAGAGACACTTAAGACCTTAACAGGATTACTGTGGTTGTATATAAAGTATGGTATCACCACACCCAAGCACATGAAATAGCAAATTAACCAACCATCCAACCTCAGGATCAAAACAGTAAAACATGAGTAGACTGAAATATGCTCCAAGAGTCATCCAGCTTCTCACATCAAGGTGTACAGTCATACTCTGACACATGTCCATCGTCCCCCCGTCGTATCACCACACCCAAGCACATGAAATAGCAAATTAACCAACCATCCAACCTCAGGATCAAATCAGTAAAACATGAGTAGACTGAAATATGCTCCAAGAGTCATCCAGCTTCTCACATCAAGGTGTACAGTCATACTCTGACACATGTCCATCGTCCCCCCGTCGTATCACCACACCCAAGCACATGAAATAGCAAATTAACCAACCATCCAACCTCAGGATCAAATCAGTAAAACATGAGTAGACTGAAATATGCTCCAAGAGTCATCCAGCTTCTCACATCAAGGTGTACAGTCATACTCTGACACATGTCCATCGTCCCCCCGTCGTATCACCACACCCAAGCACATGAAATAGCAAATTAACCAACCATCCAACCTCAGGATCAAATCAGTAAAACATGAGTAGACTGAAATATGCTCCAAGAGTCATCCAGCTTCTCACATCAAGGTGTACAGTCATACTCTGACACATGTCCATCGTCCCCCCGTCGTATCACCACACCCAAGCACATGAAATAGCAAATTAACCAACCATCCAACCTCAGGATCAAATCAGTAAAACATGAGTAGACTGAAATATGCTCCAAGAGTCATCCAGCTTCTCACATCAAGGTGTACAGTCATACTCTGACACATGTCCATCGTCCCCCCGTCGTATCACCACACCCAAGCACATGAAATAGCAAATTAACCAACCATCCAACCTCAGGATCAAATCAGTAAAACATGAGTAGACTGAAATATGCTCCAAGAGTCATCCAGCTTCTCACATCAAGGTGTACAGTCATACTCTGACACATGTCCATCGTCCCCCCGTCGTATCACCACACCCAAGCACATGAAATAGCAAATTAACCAACCATCCAACCTCAGGATCAAATCAGTAAAACATGAGTAGACTGAAATATGCTCCAAGAGTCATCCAGCTTCTCACATCAAGGTGTACAGTCATACTCTGACACATGTCCATCGTCCCCCCGTCGTATCACCACACCCAAGCACATGAAATAGCAAATTAACCAACCATCCAACCTCAGGATCAAATCAGTAAAACATGAGTAGACTGAAATATGCTCCAAGAGTCATCCAGCTTCTCACATCAAGGTGTACAGTCATACTCTGACACATGTCCATCGTCCCCCCGTCGTATCACCACACCCAAGCACATGAAATAGCAAATTAACCAACCATCCAACCTCAGGATCAAATCAGTAAAACATGAGTAGACTGAAATATGCTCCAAGAGTCATCCAGCTTCTCACATCAAGGTGTACAGTCATACTCTGACACATGTCCATCGTCCCCCCGTCGTATCACCACACCCAAGCACATGAAATAGCAAATTAACCAACCATCCAACCTCAGGATCAAATCAGTAAAACATGAGTAGACTGAAATATGCTCCAAGAGTCATCCAGCTTCTCACATCAAGGTGTACAGTCATACTCTGACACATGTCCATCGTCCCCCCGTCGTATCACCACACCCAAGCACATGAAATAGCAAATTAACCAACCATCCAACCTCAGGATCAAATCAGTAAAACATGAGTAGACTGAAATATGCTCCAAGAGTCATCCAGCTTCTCACATCAAGGTGTACAGTCATACTCTGACACATGTCCATCNAATACAATGGCAGAAAACACCCTGTGTATTATACATAGAAAGTGAAAGTAACTGCATGTTACTGGCTGGTCCTACAGCCATGGCTCCAAATACAATGGCAGAAAACACCCTGTGTATTATACATAGAAAGTGAAAGTAACTGCATGTTACTGGCTGGTCCTACAGCCATGGCTCCAAATACAATGGCAGAAAACACCCTGTGTATTATACATAGAAAATGAAAGTAACTGCCAACGAATGTCATGCATGTAACATCACAATAGACATGATTTTTGTAAACTATACACAGAAAGGGTTTGCTGATGGTCTTCTGTTAAATATATTATCCCGGGGGTTTGAATGACCTTATCCATACCTCACATCAGGGATGGATTCTATTTCTTGCTTATTTAACTAAAACCCATGAAAATAGCTGATCTTATAATAAAGTTGTAAACTGTCCACACATTTCTCATTTGCATATGAAGCTCGGATGGCAATTGTTAATGACGTCAATGACCTTGACTGACCCCAAATCATCATAAAATAACATCATGAACAATCGCGTGACCCAGAAAGGTAGTGACTATAATTCCCCCTCCAGTCTGCGCATGTCAGCCAACCAGACCTATGGGTTGGATAGAATTTTTCAGCACTGCTCGAAATGCAGATATCTTGTATGCAAGAAAACATCTGTATTATTTTACATCAAGAAGGAAAGAGCCATTCACACTAAAGATCTGTTCAATGTGTATGAATACCTTAATGCACATATGTAAATCTCGTTACACAGCTTCAATATGTCAAGTCAGTTCTGCCAATATAACTGGGGAACAGTGAGTATAAATTGTTCATATAAAACGGACCTTGACATAAGTTGGCAGTAAACTAGACAGAAAAGATGCCAAATGAAATGAAGCGTATAATATATCAAGAAGGTTTTATTACAGTAGACATTTGTTTGTCTGAATCTTGTCTTGGCTCTTTCCATTGCACCAGATGTACCTTAAGTATAGTTCACATGTAGGTAAATCAATATGTATGTAGCCAGGTGTTCAAATACAACACTCAAACCATCGCGCGTAATACCAGTGTTAAGGAATGTATGTATGTGCACGTGCAGCACGGACCACCCGTCCAAATCCCAGTCACTGCCGTCTCCCTACTTCACTCTGACTTAACCTCTCGATGGTAACACACAAAACCATCGAGAGCACGATCCAGTCACATTGTCCTTACACATGATGTTCCTGGTAAGTATTTATGTGTGTAAGTATGAAATAATATAATTTTAAACAAAATGATCATTCGTCATATTTCATCATCATATAATCATTATTTCATATTGTGAGTTATTACGTATGTTTATCTATTTCATAGGTTTTATTGTCAACTACAATGAATTAAACGTATCATCTAACTAGAACAGCGTTTTGGAGTTGTTTGATATAGAAACTATGCTACAGGTATGTCAAATTATTTCAAAGAAAGTCAAAGACAATGAGCTTTAATTAATAATAAGTACTAGCATGAAGTTGTCCACATTGCTATACTTACTTGAACACATCAACAAAGTTCATTTCATTATTCCTGATCAGGTATGCTCCAAAGTAAAAAGAAGCTGCATAGGCAAAGAACAGAACTGCCTGAGAAAAGGAGAAGGCGAGTCCCACGAGATGGGCCTTCCTCATAGCTGCTTTGTATGGATGTTCCAGACTGGCAGTGTAAAGCTGAAAAAACTTGGGTTCCCTTGAGAGACTTGCTACTGTTCTGATGTTTTCAATTGCCTCTGTAGCAACTTTCCCAGCTTCCTCTAAAGCTTCCTTGTTTTGTCCAGCAACTCCCTTCAGCATACTCATTTCCAGCATCCCAGCTATAGCAATGACGGGGAGGAAAGCAAAGATGACGAGTGTTAACTTCCAGCCATAGATGAATGCGATGATAATGGCAGTGCCCATGTTAGCTAAAGCCTGGAAAAATCCACCAACACGTGCTCCTGCAGCCTGTAACAGATAAAGTTGCTGAGTAAAGTTACAAAAGATACAAAGTGACCTAGGGCTCCCATACATACACCATTCCTCAACCACAAATCCTACCCCCATGAATTGTGAGATGTGACCTTTCACCCATTTCTCTCGACTGATAATCTGATCAGAGTAGACATTGATTTTACCATACTACCTCGGCAGTTGAAGGGTTCAGGAGATATATTGTACACAAGCTGTTTACTTTAAAGTGGCCAAGTGTAACCTTATACTATCCATTGGCTGTGAATGATGACAACTAAAACCTAAGTGTAGAATGCAATGGTACTTTATATAGATACGTGTCAATAGAAACTAAATCTGATAGATACTTTAAATTTGTACACATTTTTTTTCTTTAAAAGCAGTCATGTGTGACCTTTGACCTATTTGCCTTGACTGATACCCACCAAAATCTAATTACCATGTACAGTAAAACCCCGTTGTAATGCCACCCATTAAACCACTAAACCTGCATACCGCCATTAATTTACTCAGAACGGATTTTCCCCAACATTGATGCACCCATTGTAACGCCAAACCTGCATACCCCCCTATCCTATTCCCCAAACAATTGGTTAAAATCACACTATTTTGACCTTATTATATACCGCCAATTTGAGTCGAGTACAGGAATATCCCGATGACAGGAATGTTACGTACGTGTGTACATTGTATTGTTACATGTGACTGCCGACTGACCAGGAAATCAGCTGTATGTTATGTACGTGTGTACATTGTATTGTTGCACGTGACTGCCGACTGACCAGGTAATCAGCTGTATGTTATGTACGTGCGTACATTGTATTGTTACACGTGACTGCCGACTGACCAGGTAATCAGCTGTTTGTTTAGTACGTGTGTACATTGTATTGTTACACGCGACTGCCGACTGACCAGGAAATCAGCTGTATGGTTGTGTACACAGGAAATCGTTCACGATACTTACTTTTTGTGTTTTTTTCCTAATATTCAAAATTATTATGCATTGACATTGTCGGGATACCTTGGCATTAATCAAACATTATTTGTGTGTGACACTTCTATACATAATGTGATTATGTTTTGACCCTCAACAATTTGATACATAAAATTACAATTTTGAAAAAAAACACATATTCTGAAGTTTATTACTATTTTTTAAGTATAAGTTCAGTTGGTGTGTGAACACATGGGTTCAAAACAGTAAACCTGATATACCGCAAAACTCGTTATACTGCCAAAATCACAGAGGACAGAAGGTGGCGGTATAACGAGGTTTTACTGTATATAAAACTTGATGTTGCCATGCTATTTAGTATATATAAACTATGTCTCTATAAAACTCTGTGATTTGAAAGTAACATTATAAGTGCAATTTTGAAATGATAAAAATGTGAACTTCTAATATTGAGGTTGTGTGGGTGACTTACCCCATGGATCTGTGATGCGTCCGTAGCTAGTCGAGTGGTCAAAGCTCCTGTACTGTTCTTGTGATCATCAAACCAGGTAATATCCTATAGATAAAGTAATTTAAATAACTTAATCTCAAACCAATGCACTACATACACAAACCAGGTAATATCCTATAGATAAAGTAATTGAAATAACTTAATCTCAAACCAATGTACTACATACACAAACTAGGTAATATCTTATAGATAAAGTAATTTAAATAACTTAATCTCAAACCAATGCACTACGTACACAAACCAGGTAATATCCTTTAGATAAAGTAATTTAAATAACTTAATCTGAAACCAATGTACTACATACACAAACCAGATAATATCCTATAGATAAAGTAATTTAAATAACTTAATCTCAAACCAATGTACTTCATACACAAACTAGGTAATATCCTATAGATAATGGCTACATTCGCGTATCCCGGTTGAAACGGTACGTGTGGCGCAGAAATTTTCCACGATAAACGAACACACTTGGACCGTTCTATAAGCAGAGCTAAAAATCCACAGTTTCGGAGAATAAAAAACAGTGTTTCAAGAATATTATGACCTTCTTTCATCCGTCCACTGAATTACATAACGTAACTTAAAAACTACATGTGAGTTGACATTGTTTTAGAAAGAAATAACGCAAATTGGCAATAGTCAGCATTTTAATTTCGGTCAGGCACGTCTGGACCCCTTAATCTAAACCAGCCAAATTTTCCTGAGGTCAGCCTCGGTCCAGATCTGTACCTGTGGTTTCTTTACTGGTTCAACCATTTCAACCGGTAACGCGAATGTACCCAAAGTAATTTAAATAACTTAATCTCAAACCAATGTACTACATACACAAACCAGGTAATATTCTATAGATATAGTAATTCATATTACTTAAAACTTAAACCAATATCTTACATACACAAACCAGGTATACGTAATATTCTATAGATATAGTAATTCATATTAAAATTTAAACCAATATCCTACATACACAAAGAGATGCAAAATATCTTTGCAAAGCAGGCAATATCCTGCGTAAATTCTAAGGCAACAATATCTGTAATAAACGAATCAGGTTTAAGTATCCTGCCTTAACCAATCAGGCAACACTGTCCTACACACACAAACTTGGCAGTATCCTACTCAGTGAAAGTCACCAGCTATAAATGTTCAGTGTTTGACATTAATATTTTACCTGTTTCAGCATGGCCTTAAACGCCATCTGCCGGATCCTCAGGGTTAAACATTCTCCAGATCTCCCAAATAAGTAAGCCTGAAAGTAAATTATATACAAAAGAAATTAGTCAAATGTTAATTAAGAAAAATATTTTGGAAACTTGGCAAGCACTCTGTTTATCTCAAAGTTTGATTCGACCCCCAAGATTTGTGTTTCAGGAGTACCTATCACAAGTGAAAATATTCAACCCACTTGTAAAATGTGATATTCATTACCAAAATTATTTTGTTTCTAACAATTCTTTTCTTTATAAAGAAATTAGCATCTTTGAACAGATCAGCCATCTCCCTCCAAAATATGTTTGTTCACTTAAAGAGATGCTGTTTTGTACAATGTCAGAATAAGGTACCGATACGTGTCAAGACTATTGTAACAATTGTCAGTGCCCTTTGTTTCTTATTTTTTACATGAAATCCTGCTCTTTGATTGGTCAATTCAGGTTGAAGAAAACAAAAGGATTATTTATAACAGTGGAAAAACAACACCATTTTTTTGTTATACCTTTCCATTTCATGAAGCGGATCTTCTGCAGTTTTGTCCCAAGATCAAAGGCAGGTAAAAGTTTGTGCAACATTCCAGTCAATATTCATTCAGACAAGAGTCATTACCAAATGAACATCAAATTCCAGGAGTTTCTTTCATGTTGCAATATTGCGAAAATAAGTCCTCCACATAATTCTATGTGACATACAGTACTTTAATCGTAGCACATACCTACCTGACCCAACATAGCGAAGAAGCTAAGAGCACCAATGCCGACCAATAACAAGGAGTACATTGCCACATTTTTTTTCTGGGTCTCCTCATCTTCAGCAAAAACCTACCAAAAAGACAAAAAAGGTACAATGATGTGAAGCCAACCCAAATCAGAATCACACACCTTCAAAGTCATAGTAAAGATGTGCAATTGTAACAGGCACTCCTTGAGAAATGTAAAGCATAAAGCGAATGCTTAACCTAAAAATTTGGAGTTTTTCTATTTCATAGTTTCCAATAGTTGCCTGGTTGGTTTTGTTAGTAAGACAACTTTCAAGATCAAAATTATCAAAACCGTGCTGTTATCTATCAATCTGCATTGAAGCTGAAGCCTTACAAAATTTAATTGGTAGTGCCAGTGTGAGTTACAAGTGTGTAAATCAGTACAGGGCTTTGCTCCGAGTATTTATACTGACGGGTATGCAGGATGATTGGTATTGAATATATAATTATAAGGAGATGGGTTCCAATCACAACACAGCTCAGGCGTCCCAAGTTAGAGTGGTTATTTATTTGGCAAACAAATTTTGACTTTTTAGCGAGTCTTTATCAGTTTCACTAAAGAATCGAAACCGAATAAATACCCACTCAAACTGGTGACACCTGAGCTGTGTTGTGATGGGAACCCCTCTCCTTATATAGAGCCTTATACAGATTTCAACTCAAAAGGAAACTTACACCAATGACTTCAGCAAAGATGACAGCAAAGGCAGGCTGAACTCCGCCATTTATAATTGAACAAAAGGTACCCAACAAGATTAAGGGCCACTCTGGAGCGTTGAGGCGAATGACGCGAGAAAATGGAGCCGACTCTTCCTCCTTCTTTTTCTTCTTTTTCTTGTCCTACAAAGATACTAGATATGATTCTGTGCACTGTTATATTTTCATGTTCCTGTAAAAAAAAATATATCTTGAGATGGGTGAATCTGCATTGTTGCTATTGATATCCTAATCCATGTGCATCATTAGAAACCTAAACTTCAAAGATATTGGTTAAATGTACAGCCAGCAATACGTACCTAGGGACATATAATGTGGCCAAGCGTAAAATGGGTGTCACTCTATAAGGAGCTGGATAGAACACATCTACAGATACATCAACTGTTCTGAACAACTCGCACAACTAAATCAGCCAATCTGCAAGTGTTTCATACGATTGTAATCCCTCTGAGTAAATTTACTGTGTAAATATTGACATATTTTTTTTAAGAAATCTACAAATATTAAACTTTGGAAAAATGTATAGTTTTAGTTGATTTTGATATGTGGTGGTGGGTTTATATGGGGTCAAAAGTCAGTGGGGTTCCAGACCAGCTTTACCAGTTTGACTTGTAATTATATAAACTTCTGGTTGTCAACAGCAGAAGCCTGCAGTGCTCTTATATACCACTAAACCTTCCAAAAGATGCCTTTTGAAGCCTGTGTCAGGTCTATATCCATGAATCTAGACAGTTGTCACTAGTGTTTCACTTCAAACATTAATGCTATTAACTAAAAAGCTTAGAGATCTGAAACTTTTAACAAGAGGCCCAAGGGCCTTAGCGGTCACCTGAGTTATATCATAGATACTGGTAGCTTTATTTTATTGCTTAGATGTGATGTGGAAATCAGCATGTAAACTAAGTGAAATACAATACTTGCCATGTCATCAATGGATAAGAATTTGAAAATATTTAGTGAAACAATTTGGTTCAGGATAGAACAATTACTAAATGAAAGTCTAGCAACAAGCAATGTTCATATTAGGTTAACAGAAAAGGAAAGAATCTTTGGTGTCTCAGAATATAATGATAATATAAATAAACTATGTAATCTAATCATATTTCAGTCTAAATGGCTAATTTGGAAGGCAAGAAATCTACAGAAATTTGAAAATGAAGATCAAATTCCACTATCATTATTTAATAGGATAACAAACCAATTGAAAAATACAGCGGATAATATAATAAGTGCAAACAGACAAAATTATACATTCATTGCTTTAATTCATTCATTGAAATCACAGCTATAGCTATAATTAATATAAATACAATTATGTTGCTACTGTAATGAATAAGTACAAAAAGAATTGTGAGTCTTTATAAATTTACCTACTCTGATAATGAAAATAATGAGTGAATGAATGAGCCTGTGTGATAATTGGTTTTTGTTATTTTAATCTGATGAAAATTTATATAATATATATAAAACAATGTATACCTAATAAGAATGAAGTAGGATGATGTATAGAACAATGTATGCAGGTAATAAGATGAAAAATGATGTAGTGATATGTAAAACAATGTATGCTTTATTACAAGATGAAAAATGATGTATTGATATGTAAAACAATGTATGCTGGTTATA